ACAAGCCGAGTTGAGGAGCTTATAAGAGGCAAAAAGGCTTCATTCAGAAAATGAAAGTTTTGTTCAAATGAGAAGCAAAACTTTGGCAGAAGAAATGTAAGCAGACACCCCCAAATTAAGGAGCACATCACTAAAAACATTAAGACCTGCAATGAAAAAATATTGGGATCATAGTGGATTGTTTGATGAAAATGTTGGCTCAGTGTGCAGCAGCTGTGAAAGAGGGGATTCCATGTTAGGCACCATTAGGAAAGGAATGGAAAATAAAACTGCCAATTATCAAAATACCATTATCCAAATCTATGGTGTGAACACGCAAGGAATACTATAGCAGGTAGAGTTTTGGTCAGGTTACTTCAAAATGGATATTGTAGAGCAGGAAAAGTTTCAGAAGAGAGCAACAAAAATGATCAAGGGACTGGAGCAAATGTTACGTTTTGGGCTTTTTCATTTATAAAAAATGCTAGTAAGGTGGGATATGATGGAGGTGGAGAGGCCTGTGGATAACATGTATAGCAGTGAATTCTAACAGGGAACAAAAGTTTTTCTCCCTCTCTTATAAGACTAGAGCCCAGGGGAATGCAATGAAGTTGAATGTTGGGAGATTTGAGGCAAGAAGAATAGTTATATGAAATTCACTACCATAAGATTTAGTAGTGGTCCCCAACTTAGTTGAATTTAGAAAGGGGGGGCTAGACAAATTAACAGAGAAGGTTATCAAAGGCTAATAGCAATTATGTGTGTTCCCTTCAGGGTCGTCTTTAGCATATGCGGCGCCGGGGCACAAAGATCTGCCCAGTGCCCCCAAATTTGGGGGGGGGGGCAGGTCAAACTTGTTGACCTTTTAAGGAGGGGAATCAGCGAAAACAGCTGACTTGAAGAAAAAAAAAAGCGGCAGCGATAACCCCAGAATTCGCACCCCCGGGTAAAGACGGCCCTGGTTACCTCCACTAGCAGTGGTGGTCTGTTTCTGAATATCAGCTGCTGAAGAGTACAGGTTGGGGAAATTCCACTGCATTCCTGTCCTGCTTGCAGGGTTCCTATAGGCATCTGGTTGGCCACTTTGACAACGGGATGCTGGAATAGATGGTCTTTGGGTGATCCAGCAGGGCTCTTCTTACGTTCTAATGTGAAATGTTGGAATTTTGTCTCTATCCCGGAAAAACCTTCATCTGAAAAAACCTACAACTGGTCTTGTAGCCTGATTCAGGTTTTCCTGAAATTCTATGCCTCGTTCTGAGGATGACAGGATAGATGGAAAACCTGCAAGTGAAGGAAAAGCAGAGTTTTCCTGCTTTTCCAGAAACACCTGAAAAAAGTTTGTGCTTATTTTTAAAATCTAAACCCGTCTCCAGGGCAGCACAAAAAAACCACACACATACAAAAAAACCCCAACCCTATCTGATGATCACGGGGAATTGCAAATGTGCTTACACTGGATTCATTTAAATGCACAGCATCCCTACGAGTTACCAATCATGAGTTAGAAAAACTCTTGACACCTTGCACTTTTGGAGTGAGTGTGTTCGCCTGCCTGCTTGCTTTTCTTCTTTCCAGCAAACCAAAGGTGTCAGCAAAATGCTCTGGACCCAAACGGCCTTTATTTATTCCCTCTCCCCCTTTCTTCTTTTCCAGGTGAGACTTACAGTGCAGAGGGCAAATGGCTTGTTATAATCAGATTCCACTCAGCCGTTGGCCTGTGGGACCAAGTGACAACCTGCTCTGATGCCCCACATTCCTAAGCAGCTGGGCTGGAACCTAGGGAGAGGAAAGGGTCATGGGGCTTAATTGGAAAATAAACCAGGATGAGGAACAGGCACCCCCTGCCCTCTCCAAAGTGGAAAGTTTGGGATAATGGCCAGGTTTCAATCAAAAGGATATTTATGCAGCCCCCTAAGTCAGGGGCATTTTGTAGCTTAAAAATGTGGAAACAATGCCAACCTTGTGACATGGAGCGACAAAGGCCCATACATTTCAATGCATTGAAATGTGCCCCTCAGCAGTCCTGAATGCAAAAAAGTATGTTCCCAGGTAAGTCAAAAAAGTATGTTCCCAATAAGTCAAGCTTCTATTATGCCTGGAAAGCAGTTATCATTGCCTGTTCAGCCTCAGGCATTGTACAGGGAGCCTTGTCAGAGGCAGCAGAGAAGGCTGTTGATTTTATCATCATCATCACCACCACCATCATCATGGCCATCATCTTCCAGTATCTCCTTACCCCATACATGCCCATTCAAGTGCTTTGATTTCCGGAACTTGCATGGCTGCAGATGTCATATGATAGTCATTCTGCATGCACAAAACCAATCTCCCTAACTTTGGAACTCCCTGCACCAGGTAGGCACCTTTGCCATACTCCTTTTGGTGCCTGCTTAACAATGCTTTTGTTTAGGCGAGCCTATCCAGACATATAGGAAGTTCATATGTGTTTTAATATCTTTTTGGACTGAATATTGCAAAAAGCTTCCTGATGACACACTTTGTTTATAGTGGAGCAGAATGCTTTGGAAGATGGCTGGTTCTGCTTTGTTAAAGGTTTTTAAGCAGCAGCTGGAAGGCCATCAACGAAGGATGCAGTTGCCATGGATTTCTAGCATACCTTCCAACATTTCTCCGATGAAAATAGGGACGTCCCATTCCATAACAATAATTTTACTATTTATACACTACACATCTTATTGAGTATGGCAAAGGTGCCTACCTAGCCACTCTGGGATGCTTCCAACACATATAAAAACAAATAAAAACATTAAACATTAAAAAACACACAGTTCCCTATACAGGATTGCCTTCAGGCAGGTCAGGGATCATAATAACTCCATGCCCTCCAACGTTTCTCCAATGAAAATAGGGACATCCTATGGAAAAGCGGCACATTCTGGGTTCAAATCAGAAACTGGAACAGTTTCTCTAAATCAGGGATGTCCCTGGAAAATAGGGACACTGTTCCTACTAGGGCCTGTTCCTGGTTTGATGTAAGATTGAATCAAGTTAGTCACTACCACAGATTCTTATTTCTCCAACTGACTTCCACATCAGTTTGTGATTTTTATATAGTCTTCATGAAAATTCACCAGCATTTTAGTGCATATTTATAATGTGCACTTTTTGCAAACAACTTCCCTAATATAATTGCATGGCTGTATGTTGAGAAGCCCACAAGCAGAATCTGAGTGAAACAGCATTATGCCAGCAACTGGTATTCAGGGACAATACTGTCGCTGACTGGAGGTGGAAAACAGCGCCATTATGTCTAGTAGCCATTGACAACCTTATCCTTCATGAATTTGTCTAATCCTCTTTAAAGCCACCCAAGTTGTTGGCCATCACTGCCTCTTGTAGGAGCAAATTCAATTGTTCAACTATGCACTGTATAAATGCTTGAGAAATTGAAGATGCAGCTTTGTCTTGAATGCTCAAACTGTTGCATCCCCCCCCACTCTAAAGTATGCTGATCTTGCAAGATGAACGCCATAGTTGAAAAAAGTTCCCAATCAGTTGGATGTTTCTGGAATTCTTTTGTTCCAGAAAAAGGGTGTGCTGCCTATTGCACTGGGCCAGCCCTGGGCTGGAACTGGGTTCGTTTTCCTCTTGAGCTGGAGTTGTTTGAGATGGAAGTTTGCCTGGGTTTTGGCCTTCCTTTGTGCCTTGAAGTTGACAAAGAGAGCAAAGTGTAGCTGCCTGTGGAGCTACATTTTATGAGAATTTGCACCAGCCAGCAGTGGAACTCCACCTCAAGCCCACAGATCCTCTATGCTAGACCCTGTTTCAAGAGGAGGAGACCACCAACCCTGCACATCAGATAGAACAAGCACATGCAGGTCATATTGCCAAGGTGAGTGGAGAGAAGATCTGCAGAGCTTTTGATGGTGAAGATGCAAAGCCAATATTTGATACTAGCTGGAAGCCCAGAGTTGTGAGAGGAGAGAGAGTCAGGAGCTGCCATGGAAGAAAGATTGACTTGCCAATTGACCCAAGGAGCAGAAATAACAAGCAACTTAGCGATTTAAGACTTCAGCCTGGTAGTTTTCTTCAAATACCTGAAACATTGTCACACAAAAGAGGGCAAAGTCTAGTTCTTTGTTGCCCCAGAGGATAGGAACAGTTCTATGGGGCTTAAATTTATGGAGGGTAGATTTGGGTTAATATTACGAGAAACCTCTTAACAGGAGGAGCATGCCATGCCTGACCCTGACCTGGTACCAGTCATGGGGTCCTCAGAAGACAAACCAGACACCCTACAGGGACCTTGAGGAGCAAGCAGAACCCCCGAATCCAATGCTGAGGATCCACTAGCAGGATTCACCAATTGTTACCTGATGAAGAACCCCTGGAAATGCTGGAGGTGGAGCAGCCCTCCCATGCTCAAGGGCACTGACACAAAAAAAGCTTTAAGTAAGCAATCCATGATAACTCCTTAACTGCCAGAAGTTGTGGTTAAGAAGGCAAGAGTATATAAGGATTCCCCTTTGAGCTTTCCAATTGCTGGGAATGACACAGACCTGTGGCTCCTTCTTCCCCCCACCTTGCTGAAATTTCAAGTGATGTTGACTTTGGCCTTTTGCCTTGACTTTGTTTTGGGGACATGTTTGGCCCTAGACTGATTCTCCATGCTTGACCTTGGCTTGTTTGGATTGTGCTGCATCTGCAACTGCATCTGAGTACTTTGGTGGAGGCTTGTCTCTCCAATAACTGCCACCCCAGTCCTTGTAGTTTGAAAATGAAACCAATTGCCTAGAGGGATTATGGACTCTCCCCGGCTGCCTCTTGGGGATACTCTAGGTCAGGCTCTCCTACACCAAGCAAGGGCCTGGATTTGATGGCCAGCAAGGGCTCCTCCAACTCTGTGATTGTGTATGCATCACTCCACACTCTTCTTACAGTAGATGGACCTGATAAGATACATGTAGAAATGGATATACCAATCTGAGTGCAGCAATAGCTGCATACAGAAGTTGGGAAGCTGCTCTGTTCAGGATTTCTCATACTTGTGCTTCTCAGGAATGTAGTTCAGGGGGAGAGCATTTGCTCTGCATGTAGACCGTCCCAGGTTCAATTCATGGTATGTCCAGGTAAGGTTGCGAGAGACTCCTGAGTCTGAAATTGTGGAGAGCTGCTGCTGGTCAGTGCATAAAATGCTGAGCCAGATGGACCAGTAGTCTCACTCAGTATAAGGCTGCTTTTTATCTTCTCCTACAGCAGGTATGGCCAAACTTGGCCTGCCAGCTGTTTTGGGACTACAATTACCACCATCCCTGACCACTGGCCCTGTTAGCTGGGGATGATGGGAGTTGTAGTCTCAAAACAGCTGGAGGGTGAAGTTTGGCCATGCCTGTCCTACAGGAACAGGAGGCAGTGCACATCATTTCAGGAACTCAGGAAGCTGCCTTACACTGGAGTAAAGGATGTCATTTCCAAGCAGACTTCTCGAGCATTGACATCCCCCCCCCTTTTAAATAGAAATTGCATGTTAGGCCCATACTGCTAAAAGTGTTTCCACTGTCAAGTAGGCCTTATGTTTGTGATTGCTGCTTTTTCCTCACAGCTTACCTGTCATGTTGCCAGGCAACTCTTTTACCTCCCTCCACAAAAAACCCAAAATCCTGCAGCTTTGGTTTCTTCTAAGTTTCATTATCACAGCTCTTTAAAAATAGAATAAAATTGGGGCCCTTAAAACCTTTGGCTAGGGCAACAGGCCCTGCCAGAGCTGCTGCTTACATTCCTTTATTTTAAAATCGGACTTCTTTCCTTTCAGAGATTCTGAGTTGAAAATTATTCTATTGACTCTCATAAGGCCTTGCAAGGAATAGGTCGCGCGCACAGCTTTGACCTTCCCTTGCCATATGGCTCAGTTCTCCCCTGGAGACTGGAGAAGGTTTTATTGGTAGCACCAGGCGCTGAGCAGAATGTAGGAGCCAAGCTTTTTTCCTCCCTTTTGGCAGACGGCATTTTGCTGTTGCCGAAACTATCTCACCGTTGCCCTCAGGAGCTCTGAATCCACGCGGCAATTATTTAACAGCAATCTCCTTGTGTTTTTCTTGAGGAAAAGCTTTTAAGCTTGATTGGTGATGGGGTTAATATTGTTTGCCATGTGTCTCTATTTGGTTTCAAATCTGCATTCATAGAATGCACCAGAAGAGGGGCTTCCTGTGACTGTGCAATGAAAATGCAGCTTTTAAATGACTGAATGCACCAACACATCCCAATAGTAGCTCTTTAATGCTCTCTTGAAGGACTAGCTGCCACCCACGACACATACAGACCTTAGACACACTGCACCATGCACTTCATAGTTATCTGGTATTATACCTTTCTTAGAAACAATGCCATATGTCAGTATTTAATTAGGACTGCCGTACATGCTGTATGCAAACACAACCAGGATTTGACCTTTGAAAACAGTGTCTGGGTGGAAATCGCTGAAGCATCCTGGCAAATCCAGATGTATGGCAACCTATGTTGGAAGTGTGGATTTGGGTGAATTTCCTTAAAGGTAGCTCAAAAACTTCATTCAACAACTTTTGTGTCTGGATTTTCACTTATTGAAATATGGCAACCCTAATTTAATTCGTTCAGGTTTCCTGCGTGTTGCAATTGATCACCTGGATCTAGCTTCAGAGTGGAATGAAACTACTGCTTTGCTCTAGGGCAGGGGTAGGCAATGTTGTACCCTCCACATGTTGTTAAACTGCCATTCCCATCATCCTTGATTATTGGCCATGCTGGCTGGGAGTGACGGGAGTTTGGAGTCCAACATCATCTGGAAGGCATCTGCACTCTAGAATAGGAGGTTTCTGACTTCTATCCACACCTGTATTTGTCACAATCAGCACTGTTTCCTTTGTCCTACATTTCTGTTTCTGCCAAATACTATGTTATTTGTCTCGTTGTCCACTATTTAATGTAGAATTATGTGGCTTATATAACAGAACTCACAGTGCAAAGGAAAGGGCAGAGCAAAATTTTAAAAATCCCACATCATTAATATACACTATTTGTGGAATTAAAAACAACGATCTGGACAAATATGAATAACATTTGCATGGCTGATTTCTGTTCATGACCACAGATGAATATGCAAACTGCGGCAATTTCGACTTCCTTTTTGGATTTCATCAGTGTGAGGCAGCACACTAGCCAGCAGTGACCAGCTCTTCTTAAGGGTCTAAAGATACTCTTTTTGCATTTTTCTAAATTTTACGATGCAGTTCCCCAACCAAACAGTGTTTACAAAATGCATATATAAGAAGAGAATGTGACTAGAATTGAATATATTACTGAAAATATAATGCAAAAATGCTCTATATTACAGGAGAAGAGTTGCTTGACAGTGGAATGGATGACATCGGAAGGTGGTGGACTTTTAAAATAGAGGTTGTGTGGCCATCTGTTAGGGATTCTTTAGCTGTGATTTCCTGCATTGCAGGGGGTTGGTTTAGATGGGGATACCTTCCAACTCTACAATTCTAGGAGAAATAGCTTGCAAAAGAACATGTACATTAGTAAAAACTGCACACAAAAATGTGTGCGTTGGAAGAAATTGGCACTGACTGGCTGATAAAGTTTCATGGGGATTTAGAAAGAATAATAACAGATTGCTGAGGAAATGTAAAGATTTAGATTTAAGATTAGAAGAGTGATAAATTGAGAGATCTGAAATGGAAAGATCTGCCTATCCCTAAATGTAAGAAAACAAATGTTGTAGAAAACGTGCCCTGGAAATGCAGGAACCTGCCTTTGCCCTGAATGTGAGAAGGAGCCCTTAGTGTATAGCATGTAGAGAATGACTTCCCGTAAAGTGGTGGAAGATGTAATAACACATGAAAACCCCAAGAACTTGTACCTGGAAGCACTGTCAGGTGTGTGGGATTGAGTGCTTTCGGAGGGAGGGATGCGTCATAAACTGTAGCATTATTGAGGGGTGCCTGGATGATTTTCCGCCCTTTTGAAATATCAAAAAGCGCAGAAGTATATTTCAATCTCCTCTTAAATAAGTCATCATGACTGCTGTTTGCTGGCATTAACCACAGGAAGGCATCTTGTACAGAGAACCAAAGGCATAAATCCTATCTTTGTGCTATGGGAAAATGACACCCACCCATTACTATGGTGATGGGCAATGATGATGCCTCACCTCACAGGCAGCTGGAGGCAGGTGTGCCAACTCCTAGGGGCCAAGGCAGTGCTGAGTCCCCTCAATATTCAGAGAGTGTTCGGCTCCGCCTCCTGGCTTTTCGCAGCATTGTGCGCACAATGTGCAATGGTGGTTGGGGTTGCCAAAGTATTTCCCCCCAGATGCCCACCCCTTTCCCACTCCCTTATTAAATTTAACTTGCTATTGTTGTTGTTGTTGTTGTTGTTATTTTTCAAGCATGCAAAGCTAAATGCACACAAGTTGTGGGCATTCTAAAATGGCTGCACAGTGTTTATTCTTAAGCCCTATCCTGGTGGGTGTTGGTCTGCCTCTGTAATATCACTATCTAGGGCAGGCATAGGCAAACCTCCAGATGTTTTGGACTACAACTCCCATGATCCCTAGCTAACAGGACCAGTGGTCAGGGATGATGGGAATTGTAGTCCCAAACATCTGGAGGGCTGGAGTTTGCTTCTGCCTGATCTAGGGTGTGGATGAAGAACCGGAACTGGTGATGTTTCCAGGGATGAAGTCATCATGCTATTTGCAGAGTGGCATTCGAACCATAGATCAGCCTGACAGAAGGAGCCACCAAAGGCATTTCCCCCCCCTAAAAAAGATTCTGGGCCTATCTGTATTTACGAGTTTTTACACGGAGTCAGCACTAGCTCCCACCTCTGTTAAAATATAATGGGCATCCAGCTATGCAACTCAATGAAAGCAACGGATTGAGGTTTTATAACCGAGACGTGTTGTGCGTCCAGTTTAGGAAGAATAGCAGAGGCTTACTAAAGCAGCTAACGGAAAATCTGATTTGCAGGATGCAATGCCTAGGCAGTGTGTGGCCACAGAGCTTGTCCTCCTTTCCCTTCTCAGAGATCTGAAGCCCTGCGCAGGGGACAAAAAGCAAGAAGAAAATGGTAACGCCACAGACCTGATTGGCATGGTGTAAAGAAATTACAGTCTCTCTCTGCTTCCCAATCCCATTGGCTGTTCTGCTTTTTCATTCTTCAGAAAGGGGTGCAGTTCTTGATTATCTTAAAATCCAAAATATTGATAATTGAGCCACTAGAAAATGTTTAAACTAATTTTAATACCCTTTTTTACACTGCTATAGCTTGCCCTGGAATATTATTTTATATTATTGGCCCTTCACCATGCTGTGCCAGGTGCCAAGGTAGATCACAGCAACTTAAAAATGCAATATTAAAAATAGTTTGGAATAAGTTATGTTCAAGGGAGGGTAAGAAATTGAAATAATAATGACCATAATAATAAACAAAAGAGGTGAAGAGAAGTTAGAGTGGTCACTTGCATTACGTTAGAAAAGAAGAAACGCGCCATCAAAAAGCGCATGTCGTTGCTTAAAATTTGGACAGGTTAGTTTGTATACAAATTTAGAATTACCACAATTTAAATAGATATACAATGTATCTCCCCATAATGTGGGAGGCTGTGCCAAGTGACCCATGTTATGGGCAACTCCAAAGCCCATGCTGCTCTCCTGTCATATTGTGTTCTGTATCTTTAAACTGGACAGCCCTTTAAATAGAGGGCTCCTTCCCTCTGAAAAGCAGAGCATGTGAGCTACCCTAGGAGGAGTGCTATGAGAAACAGGAGGAGCACAGCCACTTCAAATTGCCCAGTCTTCCTCCCCAGCCTTGCAGATGCATTCACTGTCTGAAATCTTCACTTTTCCAATCCTACCATGTTTGCTGCCTACCTGCCTTGCAGATGCATTCACTGTCTGAAATCTTCACTTTTCCAATCCTACCATGTTTGCTGCCTACCTGCCCTTCCCCTGTTTCTTTAATAAAGGCTGCATCCAGATAGTATAATCTGTTGGCTGGTTTAACTTCCTTCCAGGTAAAGAATGAGAGATTTTGGGGATGGAGGGAGTCTTCCTGCAACAAAGCGGTTCCCTGTGTAAATGTGAC